ATCAATGGAAAGGAGATTTCTACTAAATTACCCTTCAGAAACGCAGAAAAAGTGAGAATGTTCAAAAACGATTTCTGTTTATAGTCACGCTCGGTGGATTCTTCTCGTTCTTTGCTTGAGAAAACTGCTTTACCCGTCTACGAAAAAAAATTCGGGAGAAGAATCTCAGAATGTTTTTATTTTCTTTCGACCATTGACGCATTTGTTATTTCGGCAGCACGAACTGGTCTCGTTGACCGATTGGGAATACGTCTGTGGTCACACGCGAATAGAGCGTAGGGAGCGGGGTCGGAGGTCGCTGCGTGAAGACTCTCGTGACACTCCAGTGGGAGAGAGGTCATTAAAGGGTCCTCACTATCCCAAACGAGGTTAGGAGAGCTGCTGGGACGGTGAAAGGCACGCAAACGACCGGAATTGGCGCACCGATGCACCACCTAATTGCCACCACGGTGCTGCCATCTGCGGGGACCAAGCATCACTAGTGTGTCCGAAAATGTTTCTGGGACGACAGACACAATCCAATAAGAACTTTATCTTACTCGAAGAAAGGCTGCGAGCCGTTAAAACGTCTATAGAAAACTTGAATTTTGTTACGCATCGGTCTATTGTGAACCTTGTTTCATTTTTTTACGAGAGGCGGGCGTGAGGCGAAAACCGGACCAAATTCCTGATGATATCTGCATTTCCTGTTGGAATACGGTAGAAGGTGTGATGTTGAGAGATAACCCGGCTCAACGCGTGTCTTAAATTTCTCGGATATCTAAGATATGCTGGACAATTGATCGAGAGTTAGCTGCGGGCTATCTGGCGGGCTCTTTTCTATTTTGCGACCTTACAAGGTTAGTTTTTGAGATAAATTTACGCCATATCCCATAAATTATTCCATTATCCATACGTGACTTCTATAATGCGGAAAATTTATAAATTTTTCCTTCAGCGAACCTTGCCATCACGATATGGCCTTCCAATACAGGTGAACATCTAGAGGTAGCGTATATAGTGGCGAAAATGATTTTACAATCTTGATAAAGTTTTCAGAAACTACCAATAAATATCACTCTGCAGAAATTTTCACTCGAAAATAGTCGTTTGTAGTAATAAAATACAAATAATAATGAAGAGTTGGGTGCAATTTCCTCTTTATCAAGACCTTACAAAGTAGGGTCTTCATAAAGATGAAATTTTCTTTCAAAGATGAAAGAATCTTTCAAGATGAAATTTATACAACTACATCTCGTGATATGCATTTACCGTATACGTGATTGCTGTTACTTGAAAATTTTATAAATTTTCATCACGAAACTTCTCGAATTATAAGGCGTTAACCATTGTAGACTTAATGATGAGGCGGTGTGCAATATCAAAAAGAAGAAGAGGTAAACAATTGCATTGACTAAATAAAACCGGATATATTAGTCCACTAAAATCTCTCGATACCCAACAGTATACCTTAAGCTGTCAATTGCGAAATTATCTTTTACATGTCTGGATGAAACTTCGGTAACAAAGAGAAAGTTGAATGTAATTTTCTCTCTCTTCTAGCCTCAAGCACATTTACTACTGTTGCTACTACTACTATTACTTCTACTACAAGAACATAAATCCCCGGTAATTGCCGGCCCATCATTATTGTCTATCTTGGAACTGTAGTAGTATGGACTAAACAAAAGAGTGAAGCGACTCGAGACCAACAAAAGGACAATTATTAATATTTGGGATAATTTGACCACAACACGTGGACATCCTGCATTTATGGGATCCTTGGAAACAGAGGAGAAAAACCTGCGAATATTTACAATGAGAGAAGGAAAGGGAAAGTGTTGAAGGTCATATATGACAAATGGAAAAAGTTTTAAACATCTCATGACCTCTTACTATTTAATTATCATTTATACTTGTCATGCTGCTAAGGTAAGACGTAAACAGGATGGAGTTCCGGAAGTTCTTCTTTGTTAAGATCCTCCTACGGAATCTTAATTCTTTACAAAGGGCCTACAACTCAGGGATAAATTTTCTTATTAAAATATAAGGCCCTTATTTGTTTAAGGTATAATAAAGTTGCGTTTAGGCCACTTACATTCTTATCATCTTTCACTTAAAGAATTTTATAAGACTATAGTTTCAATACAGAGCTCTAGCTCGAATATTAAAGCGAAGAGGCCTTATTAGTTCGTATTCAAAAAGGCCTTTAGATATACAATCGTAAAAAAAATATAGGGCCTTTGTAATATCGAAGATAGGCAAAGAGGCCAAAAAAGCCCAAATAGGCCACTTAAACGTAACCTACATCTAAACAATCGAAATTATCAGAAGATGTAAGATAATGAAGATAACTCCTGATTATTGATTTAACAAAAGAAACATTGAGCAGCCTCCGGCATTTCGAGGCCTTACTTTATGAATATATAAACTTTGTGTTATTATACATCTACCCTTATAAAAAAGAAAAAAATATATATTGTAAAGAGGATTATATTCTATAAATAAATAAATAAAAAGTCATTATTATTTTGTAAATTTTATAAATAAATAAAAAACGATTCTAAGAAGGATCCAAGGGCATGAAGGATGCTCGAAACGAATCTTCAAAGAATCGTCAATACGCTTTGAATTTCTTCTTTCTCGAAAATAAAAATGTAAAATTATAAATTTAAATAAATTTTAATCTTAATTTTAATTATCAATTCTTTTATTCTACGGTTTTATCCATATTTTAACGACTGCGGGTTATACGCGAAAAGTTTCATTTCGGGCTGTTAAACTCGCTAAATATCCGTTTCTAAATTAAAATTTTAACTTAAAATTAACTTAAATAATAATCATTGAATATATTGATGTAATAGGACGAGGATGCATGATACAGGATTTTCTACAAAATATATTTTAAGTTTCTGAAAGAGATTATAATCATGAATTTTATTAAAATTGTAAGTTTTTAAGTTACTGAAAAGGAGAGAGATATTAAAACTTGTATAGACATGCCCCAAAATCTTGCATAGGCCCAATGATATTTTATTAGCATATTTATTCTTTATATAATACGCAATTATCGCAACTCGTACTTGCTAGCTGGAAACATTTAAACATTAAAAAACATCAAGTCATATAAACTTGCTGAATTGTGTTTTAAAGGGAGGAGATACATTTAAAAGATTTACATAATTTTTATTTATTTTGTTTTATTTATTTTTAGCATTAAATACGGGAAAGAAAGGATTTCCTGAAACTCGTAGTTTATATAAAGACAAAACAATAGAATGTTTTTCCATTGCTTGCATTAATATTCATGTCACAGTCCAATAAAAGAGTGCTTTTATCCAATGTCTTCATAAATTCGCACAAAGGATTAACAGATTAACGTCTAATGCACTGAAGTTGTAGTAGCATAAGCGGTTTGCCATTTCCTAAAGGGGAAGAATTCGAAATCAGGAAATTTCAATAAACAAACTCTGCACCAGGTGTTATAGCCGATAACGATATCCCTTTTTTTTCATACACTCGTTAAAGTTTCCCACTTGTTGCTGTAGTAGCACGTCACGCGTCAGTATGTAAATAATTCTCGAATCACGCCAACGAGCGTAAATCGATGCCTGGAGCCAAGAGCAAAACTCCCATTTCGATGCTCTTAAAGCTTCAATTTTGTCAGGTAAACTATAGTAGCATACGATATAGCCTAGTTAACAGGTCAATACTAACTAAGAATTACAAGAATTCCATAAAAGGACACTTAATATAAAATCCTTATTAAGTTTATCAAACAAGATCTAAATATGTAGACGGGGAGATTATATTTTTAAACCTTTTTTAGACTAGTACCACTATTACTACTATGGTAACAATTTAGCTCTTCGCTATGTGAAAGTTACCAATTAGGAGAATGGATAAGTCGACAGAATACATAAATACTTTCCCAAGCAAAGCTTCTCATCTTCGTTATGTTGCAGACATGACGACAATTCTGCAATTCTATCTCAATGTCGTCCGTTTCTCCCCCCTTTTAACCGGTCCTGCAAATTGGGGCATTGGACACCTGCCGGTATTCCAATTGTGCGAGGAATTAATTGATTACCTTTCTCGAATCGTGCTCCTTCTACATCGTGGGAAAACATCGGACTTTAAGGAGATGCTCTGCAACTTCCATGGTTGCAGTCTATACATAATTGGTGCGGTGACAACGCGACTTTAACCCCCGGGTTATTATCGTCCTGTGAGGCAAGAAGTAAAGTTTGATAGATTAACTTGAACCGCTGTTTTTTTTCCTGCTTGCCCTCTCTTTCTTCTTTACTTAATTAGAGGGCCTCGTTTCGTCTTCACTTCTCAGTAGCGGCGTTATAGGCGTTAAACCTTTGCTTTTTCTATGCTTAATGATAACATTTAAGGATTTAAAGCCCTTGGGAACCTTTCAGCTTAATGTTTTAACGGTGCTGTTGCTATTAATTTAATTCTTTTATTTTTATTATTAAAATATAACCTAGGAGAAAGTTATCTTTACTCGCAGGATGAATAATAATCTATAGCTATTGTCAACTGTATATTTACGTTTCTTAAAAATGCTTCTTCGCGCCGTTTGCTTGTTTGAATCGCCTCAAGCCCGCTTATAGCGTTGCAATTCTCTTTAATTCGAGGCCTAAGAGGGCTGAATACAGTCACGTGATGAATTATCATACGATCTAAAGTTGGGTCTTTTCTAAATTAAATCTTCATTTATCCAAGGATTTTTAATGAGTTTTTTTCTAATAGCATTTGTTAAGCTTTTGATACTGTTAATCCCGAAATTTTAAATATATATTTTTTAAGTTTCCCTGTTTTAATTTTACAATAGGAACATTTTAATATAGAATCCTAAGGGCAACGTAGCCAGATTTAAAGGCCGTTTAACGGATTTAAGCTTACAGATTTTCTAAACCTACGTCTATTTTGAAGGGATGTTTTCTCTTTAAGCGTGAGTAAAATACGGTATTCTGGGATTAATTTTGTTAAAATTGTACAGTGTTACTTACGTTTCTTCTTGGGTTCCTGATCTTGACCCATTGGTAGAGGCCCACCTGCCAGGTCCATCATGGTGACCGGCGATACTCCTGCGTAGACATCGTCCTGCATTCGATCTCCTAATCCGGGAAGGGTACTTCCCACTTTGAGACTTGATCCAACGCTTCAGACAATAGAGGGCCCTTTCTTCAGTTCAGTATCACTCGACCTGAGGGAGAATCTCAGCGTCAGATGATAGTTTTTATGCTAATTGACCTCCGTTTCTGGAAAGCCAGACCGGAAGACTAAACATCTTAAATTTCATAGCCCAGGGGACCTGGTAGAAGTCTCCGCTATTTCTTTATTATTATAGTTGCATAATAATAAGATTTTAGTCTCTTAACTAAAACGTTTCTTTACGTAATCCCGGATTTTACGCTCTTCGGATCTTCGTCAAAACGCAAAAATCTTCACCACAGCTCATATTTCACTCGATTTCTAAGCAAAAACTTTGAAATTTTTACAGGAAATTATCACTTTTCTTCTCGAAAACTCCAACGACACAGAAAATTCCATGCAAACGTATAAAATTCGAAAGCATTTAAGAATCGTCTGAAGGATGCAATATATAATTATATCCAAAATTTCCTCTATTTAGACACACGAAACAGTATATACACCCTCGATTCTTCGACACTGTAATTAAAACCTCGCAATAACAGCAATTATTAGAAGGTTAAAGAAAGATTCGACGTTTCTTCATACCCCCTACCAGCTTCTCACGAACCCCCATTTCAAAAACTAATCAACTTATACTGCTACAGTTGCAATCTTCTATAATACTTCTACAGCAACAGCACAGATTTTAGTCAACAAACGACCTCATTATTAAAGTTGCACAGCAGAGAAAATGGATAAAAATGTATAGTACCTGTACTACCGCATGTGCAACATTCCAAAAGATCAAATCTGACCCAAATTCGCAATTCGGTTCCATCTTCTTTTTTTTTTTTATGCTACGTAAAATATTGTTCACGTATGAAACTATCATCGAAAATATCTAAAAACGGGTTGACACCAATAAATAATAATAATAATAATAACATATATATATATATACACAAGGCTATAAATATGAGGAATGTCAACGTTCTAACTTTATTCTTAAAAATATCAAATTGAGGGCGTAATATTGTAAATTTTCTATTTTTATAAAAATTACTGATTAATCATAGAATAAGAAAAGCACTTGATCGAAGCTACAACACTTATATTTCTACTGTAACAAACTTAAACGAGCCGTTACATTATGTAACGTATACGGAGTCGAACGAGTGGTAAATTAACCTCCTATTAGCATATTTTATGTAAGAATTACTATCGTATAAGGTCTCCATATGTAGATTATTGGGATATGAGGCTTATTGCGACACAGCACAGTTTATATTATTATAGTAATTTCGGATTTTAATTTTCGTTCGGGTTGAATAAGTTGAAAATTTTACGCATTATTCTACTTTTTGGACTATTAATGGCTACCTTCCTCTATAGGAATTTATGTACATTTTTTTAAAACTAAGTTTTCGATAATTCGAAAACCATTTGGATCTCGGTTATTTTTCTTTTAAAAAAGGTAACTTTTGACAAATCTTCAAAGTTTCCTGGTATGAAAAATATATATAAAACCAGCGATTCTTGAGAAAATTATACTTAAAAAATACAATTACGCCTCATCCATATCCGAAAAGTTTACGCTGTAGCAGGAATAAAAATAATTTTACTAGAAACAAAAAGAAATACAGGAAAGTTCTCACAATTGTTTTTTTTTTTTTTTTTTTTGTTAATTTTAACTCGGAAATTAAGATAAGTTAGCAGATCACAGACGGCTAAACACAGTATCGCTTTTTTGTTTTTATTTGCTATTTTTTCTTAATTTACTAGGCCTATACATACATCTCTATATTTTTACTTGAAATAAATAATATTTAAGTAAAATACAGATGTATAAATCATTAAATAACTCCTGTTTACTTTACATTCAACGTTTAAATACCTAACTCCAACTTTCTAGCATTAATATTAATTATTCAGTTGCGGAGTTAATTATGTTTATCTACTTAATTCTATGCTTAATTTATTAACTTGATATCTATTTAATTCTACGTTTACATAAAGTTAAATGCTACAGATGAAGATTTATCATAGAGAAGGCGTTTAAGTTAAGAGAACGGCCTTTTGTAAATCACACGGATCTTGTGTGATGTTAACGAGTAGTTTATGAAGTTTCTCGTATTTTATGACTTAATTTTTGGCATTTTTATAGGATTTTAGGTCTAGAAGTAAGAATTTCGAGTGTTTTTAAACTGATTGCGGTATATTCTACACTGTATTCACGTTTTTTAAACTGGAACGCATTGACGAATTCAGAACTCCTGTGTTATCGGTCCGAAATAGAAGAATCGAGAGTGTTATGCCGTGTGACGTGTCAAAAAAAGGCTGAAAGACGGAAACGGAGTGGTCAAAGGATGACGAGAAACGTTCATTCAGTAGATAGAAAGGCGGAGACGTAGTAAAAGGCCTGGTAGCGGGTCAAATCGACTGAGGCTGTAGGGCAACGGGAAAAGTGAACGACCCTCAGCGCCAGAGGGTCGGTAGCTAGATAGGGTCCCGATAAGACAAAGGAAGTTCCCACCATTCACTGGGAAAACAACAGCCTTCGGGACAGGTGGCGACCCCTGGCGGACAGGTACATCCTGTGACATCCCAGTGTCAAACTGCACTTCCACACTTTTCGAGTCGAGGATTTCGTCGATAAACAACTATTGTTTAGAACACATAGACACCATTGTCGATTGTTCTACACAATGGATCGTGAAAGAAGAGTGCCGTACCGCTTTTTTTCCGTCACGTGATATTCCATCTCCGCAGAGGAGAAAGGAGAGAGACGAGAAGGACAGAAAACAAGAGATAGATAGAGGTTGACAAACCTTCGTGATTTTAATCCTTGAAAATAGCTTCTCACTCCCCTCGGTTATCTTCTATGCACTCGTAATCCTTGCTCTTGTACAGTACAATATACACTAATCCTATATGCAATCTGGTCGTGTATACAAGTTGCGGAGTAGTAGCAGTAGTTGTTGTTGTAGTAGTTCTTTCCATTCGCTTACTTATTTTCTGCTGTACATCACAACCCGACTGGGCCAACAGGTGCCGCGAAGGACAGGTGGGGGAGCTACACTTACCTGAGCGAAACGACGTCGACACAAACAAACAGAGAAACGTGTGCAGCGGGCGGAAACGCCTCGACCAGCTGACGGACTGCAGACTTGTGTGTGGCACCACCACGGTCCACTGTATCTCGGCGACCGTCTCCTAATTGCTACGTCGGTCGGGTTGGTCGTCGTGGCTGTGACGTAGTACGGCTACGGTCCAGGGAGCACCGCTAGTTTACCTGCAGGTACGTCCCACCTCCGCTCCAGGTGGGGAGGGAAGCGACACGCGAATGTCTTCCTCTCTGTCTTTACTCGTTTTCTGTGACGTCACTTACGGCTACGTCATCGCACGTGCGTGTGTTGAGGTCTTCAGGTGTTGTCAGTGCTAGTCTTATCCATTTTTTCTTTATTTTTTACCTTTAATGCCGATAAAAAGTGCCGAAACTGCTCTATATCGGCATTAAGATTTAAGATTTTAATTTAGGCGCAATCTCCAAGATCTCCAACTTTCCACACGCAAAATGAATGATTAATTTCCTAATATATAGTCGTAAGGCTAGATAAAGATTCACTTTAAGGCTTTAATCTGTAGCCTGGATAGATTTAAGATGGAAGACTCAGACTAAGCATTGAAAGATTTGACAAATTCGTAGTGTCATGGCGGAAGGTTAACAGGAGTTAAGTTTTCAAATCAGAATTTTATAGCTTCATTGTACGGTACATAACACAAAACTTTGACCTTATAAACTCTTCCCTCCCTTGACGGGATTTGTTGCTCCGTTGGTAGCAATAGAATTGCAAATGAATAGCATAAAATTTTAAATTTTTGCTACATGATTATATTTGTTATTATATAACGATTCATAATGGCTTCCTGATTAACATTGAAAACTCTTCTGGCCTGTTTCGTTTCATATATGTTAATTATCCTTTTCAAAAAACACTAGTTCTAGATCTATAACATCTTCAAAAAGTTATAACGATATTATAGAGCTATTATAAAATGTTTCAGCTGTATGGAACAATGTAATAACTGTAAAGTCATAGATCGTTTCAACATATGATGAAATTTTAATTCTTAATAACTAGTTCCATTATAGCAAACTGGTGAAGAGCTACTAAGAAAGATAAGAGATTTACGAGTTCTCCTAAAGGAAATTAAGCTTATTATACGACTCCATAGACTATGATGCACGTTACAAAGCAACACCCAACAATTTTCGACTATAATCCTTTCATATTGTAACAAGTAGTTAAGGGGAAAAATAGGGAAATTTCATACAATATCTTCACGTGATCGGTCACAAATTTGATTTTATGAGTTATAAAAATATTCATAAAGTATTCTTTTAAGCGTAGAGAAGTTTTAACTCTTACGAAACAGCATTCTTTACATAGAAGCGACTTTCAATTGAGGAATGTCAATTCTGATGAAAGAGCAAACATGACCAAAATGACATTCACCTTGCAGCAAATAAACAATTTTTCTGTTTTTTGTCATGGATTTGTGTGTGTTTGTGTGTGGGAAATGCGCGACTCGCTCCGGTAATCACAGGAAACGGAATTCATTAGCCACTTTTTCCATTGATCGCTCCTCTTCTTCGTAGTAAAGAGGAGTAAAGGACTGTTGACGTATCTGTAACAGTGCCTATGTTCATAACTGTTAAGAAATCTCATAAATAATGAAGTTAGCATGTTCTTATAACATTACACAGATTTTATTGGCTTCATTCTCTTTCTAAACGCAAATATATACCAAAGAATTTATTAATTAATCCCACAGAAATGTTCTTTTGCCACATTTAAATGACCTAACGAAAATTATTTTATATTTTACTTTCAGATTCTTCCTTCATCTATTGCATAAAATCCTGATTAAAATAAGATTTATTTTTACCAGATTTAATTTAAAATATAACAATTCAAAGCCAAAATCATGCAATAATCTGCCGCAATGGAAAAAAGAAATAAATATTATAGCAATTTTTGACGATTAATCATATCAAATTCCCCCATTTCATTCATTTAGGAAACTTGTAATTTGTTATTAATATGAGTAAAAGCAGTATGGAGTAAGTGCATTATAAATTTACTAGAACGAGGGAATTATCCCTTACACAAACAGGATGAAGTAGCCAAATAGTTGATGAAGTGGAATTTTCGATATTGTCATTTCGTCAAACCAATTAACTTCATTGATCTCATATTTTCTATTAAAACGAAGTATTTTCCTCTGAGAATTGCAGGAAATTTTACATATTATCTAGGGAATATCCACTATTTCAACTAAACCCATCGACTTCTATGCACCCTTTCTGCCGATAGGGCGAACTTTACCACGCCGGGAAATGGGGAAATGAAATAGAAGGGCCGTTATAGATAGTCAACACCTGCTTCTCCAATGGCAGATGGTAAAGGTGATGACACGGAGCGTGCCAACGCTGCAACGGTCCCTTTCCCTCCTTCTCCAATTACTACATTTGTAGGAAATTAGTCTGCGGCTATAACAGACATTCAAACTTATTCGTTACATACAAATGGCAGATGGATCCCTCTATACCGATCTCTCATCCCTTCTACCATAGTTTTTACACGCTTAAAAAAATATGTTGCAACTCCATAATTACCTGCGATTAAGCTTACAAAACCTCTCAGACATTGTGCAGATCCTTAATATCTTTTAAGAAAGATCTAATCTGTATTCTAAATCTCCTCCACCCTTTACATATTTATAAATTTTAACATTCTTGCAAGGGTAATTTGATGGAAGGCCATGTCATAAGTTATCTTTCCAGCAAATTTTTTAAAAGATGTTATTGAGTTCTAGGTCCTGTATTTTGGAGGATTTAATAAGGGTTACTCTAAAAGAGAGCGCAGTACTCATCTCGGTTGAGTTTAAATTCTTTAAATTGGAGGAAAAAAAGGACCTGCAAACAAAGGAAAGTGAAATGAAATATTTAAAGGTCGCTTAATAGCGGATGTACGAAGCGACATATGGCATGCCTCACCAATTTTGACAACGCCAGCCCCATGTCATTGGCCCTTCATCCTCTGACGTGCCGATCACTATTTTCGGATGTAGAGTCATTCTGTGGGAAATTTCATCGAAAACGACCATTTTTCTCAACTACCAAATATCTTTCTCGTTTCCCGTCGTTCGAGAATTGATGCTAACAATGCAATCATCTCCTAACCATCATCCAACATTAATTCTTTTTTTCCCCTTGCAACTACGTCTATACCCAACTGGAATTATAATAAATCATTCCTTATCAATTGTACAGTAAATTTAAAAAATAATCCAATTCATTTATCATCTCGTAATGAAAATTCTGTTAATAATTTTAAGTAATTTTTCAAAATATTCCAATACGAATTCAGTTAATGAATCATATATATTAAGCAATATCCTTCAACGATTGCAAAACCTAAACAGTATAGATGTAAAATTGCGTTATATAAGTGATACAATCTTGACGAACAGAACTTTCTGAGAATTAAAAATGGTTCGAATTTATTAGAAATTATAGTGCCATTTCTTAATTTTCCCATTAGACAAAATAATAAAGCTTAGTAATCTGCAGAGTAAGTGCAGTTTGAACTCTGCATTTACATTAGGCCTGTAATGTAGTTTTTCAGAGCTCAAACTGGGTAAGCAGCAGCAATAAATTTGCTCTCTTCACCATATTTAATGCATAGAGATAGGCCTAAACTCGCTCTTCATAAGATTATTCAAATTATAATTAATTTATATGAAACTTTATGAAGTTGATGTATGTAAAGATTAGACATTTATGAAGGATATTGCATAGAAGTTGTACATTTATGACCTTCCAAAAACTTGACCCTTACGTTTCTAAAAATCTCAAATTTTCTCCACGAATATTCAACTTCAAATCGAATTTTAGAAACTTGAGAAATCGAAAAAATCATTAATAATTAAAATTTTAAGGAATTTTAAATAATATAAATTAAGTTTTAGGGTTTATTAAACTATCGAAATGTCAAATTTCTATGAAATTCTACGTAAAGAATTGATTTTTTGTTACATTTTAACCAGTTTAAGAATGGAATTTTATGGAGTTAATATGTGATTCGTAAAGATTAGAGACATTTATAAGTTGAATATTTACTGTAATTAAGAAATTACTATGGTTACAGGTGAAATTTTTACGAGGATGTTTACAGAATTAAGCAAAATATTGGCTGTAAGAGGTACGAATCCCCGATAACGGCGTTAAGAATGGGATTGGTAGGAAGGTTTACCCATCCCTATGAGAAAAATATTATAAGTAAATCTATTTGTAGATGCATATTCTCGATAAACAGAGGCAGCGTCGACAAACGTCCCTTTTGTGACGGCTGATAGAATGCATAGACAAACCATTCTGCAGAGAGAGAATAACAGAAAGACGATACGGCGCATCTTCGTCATCACAGCTGGAAATGCTGTAAGAATCCTCTAACCACAATAGAACTATAGGAAACAAGATGAGTACCTTTGTCTGTGCCTCATAAAGAGATAAGGATTGGAAACTGTGAAGTCCCCATGGGGTATCTATGCTTGGTAGAACACGGTAACTTAAGAACCCGGTCCTATATTCACTCCCAAAAATATGTGGGGTGAAGATTTCACCTGCGAACCTTCTTCGTTTATTGGTAGACGTCATCCGACCGTATTCGAATCTCGGTTCAACGAGTAAAGATGTTAATTGCACGTTAATTAATGTTGTCAAATTGTTCGAATGACTGGATCGGAAAACACATTTTTCTTATGAAAGCTTGCATGGGTTTTTGCGGTTAATGCCACCATCATGATACCAAAATGAACTTTGCTACAATAAAATTCGAATGTAAACTTTACGCTTTATAATGTTGGACCCCTAAAGTTGGATTCTGCGAGTCTGACGTGCTTAGATTTGATTCCTAAAGTTGGATTCTACGAACTGGAGTTGAATTTTACATTAAAATTCATAGAAAGATTATGTTTACACTTCGTGGGATTATAATATTTTTGTTATTGATACATTAAGTATTGGGTGTAGCTAAGTGTTAACGTGGAGTGGTAATATAGTAACATCACACTAAAATTTTGAATGAAATTTTTAAAATTTAAGCTAAAATTTTGATTAAAACAGAAATTTAA